ACAAATCAACGATTTTAAAGAAAAGTATCACTTAATCCCTCCTTCAACAGAGGGAGCTTCCCTTTACCTGCCGACGTAATATCCCTACGTCATGCACGACGTAATACGCAAGTGACGTTATCGATCCTACCCTCGTAACCAAGGCAACGCCTTTTCTTACACCTCTCACTTACCAGCTCGAGGTTTTTCGACTTTTCAGCATCAGTTATTTTGAGCGATCCTACTTCAAGTGTAAATGCTGAGTGTCTGTGAACAAAGCAAGGTTGTCTGCTGGTAAGGAGCCAAGCTTTTAATTGTAGTCAGCTAACATAATACTGAAAAGTTGCGAAATAAAGCATTTTACCAAGCTTCTAATAAATAGAAATTTATCAATAAGTACATCTTAATTTTTTTCCTGTTCTCAACATTTGCCATTCTCATTTATTTCATCAGCATCTTCAAAATTTATAGTACGTTGCGCTTAGATCTGCTTGAAAAAGGGGTTGCCTCTGCCATCGTTACTACAACTCTATGGACTTTATGAACCTACTGTCATGGCTTTTTTTTTTCCCTTTGCCCCTGTAATATAGACTAAAGCTTCAAATTTCTGTGTATTCACTTTAGCTGGGAATGCTGAATTTTTTTCCTGCTTCTTGTATTTTAATGTTTATTTAAAGGTACTCATGCTTGAAATAGGCATAATTGTCTTGTTCTGCTGTTTCGATGCATTACTTCAGCATATGCAGGGCATTTGGAAAGCTAATTTCCCTTACTAACTGATTTACGTATCTTCTATTTTAATGAAGAAATGAAGTGTTTCACAGCAGTAATGTTCTTTCATAGCTCTAGTAATTGCATGATCGCACGTTTGAATTCAAAAAGTAGTGTTTTCTGAAAGAAATACATCTTCAGTATAATTTATGAAAGCGTTTACCTATCTGCCAAAAACCCAATCTAGTTTCGAACAAGAATAACCTAAAGATTCGCATTTCAAGACCTGACAATTACTAAGTGCGTTCAGTTGTAAGATCTTAAGTTTCTTCCGAGATTGGAACGAGATTGTACGGATGTGATTAATTTTAAGGGATAGAACCATCTATTAAGAACAGACTTTTGCGAAAGGTTGATCTAATTCTAAATAAAGCTAAATATTTCAACAATCTACAAAAATAATCATTTTATTTACAAAGCAACCTGGATTGCATCGATGGTTCACTACTAATTACGTCGCAAACTGAAAAACTAACATTCTTTCTCAGAACGGAGATACAGAAATCATTTTTGGGGTTTTCTTACACTCCCCACCTGATAATTTTTGCAAAAATTATCACTATTTCAGCATACAAATAATAAAAATATAAGAAAGCAACTTACATATCAAGTACATTCAACTGATGTAAATATAAACTGCAAAAGGAAATTCTATAAAATAAACGAATATAGTTAACTGCATCAGTTCAAATGTTACTCAATACGTAAATATTAATTCGAATTACAAGCAGTAAATTATTAGTAATAACTAAACTAATTATCTAAAATTAATGTTAGTGAACATGAAATATAAGAAATAAAATTAAAAGGTTACAAAATTAGTTCATTTTCAAGTCTGATAGTTCAAGGGGGTATATATCAATTGCACAGGTCTCTTAAAGTCCCCTTTTTTAGTTTTTACCACACATGATCGTACAAGACCATCACGTCCTTTAAAGACTTGAATTACTTGGACCTAAATCCCAGAGGAACTTAGATTTAGTTGTTCCTTCAAGTAAAACTATATCACCAATTTTAAGATTTTTCTTGGCTTCTGGTGTACCGAAGAAGTGAGCATTTCTTAACTCAAGAAGATACTGATTTTTCCATTTTTTCCAGAATTGTTTTATAAGTGTTGTCTGATATTCTTTTCGTTTTATTAGACTCTTTCTTGTTGGAGAGCTTTTCAGGATCTCAGCAAAGTTGTATGGATATTAATCCTTATGTCCGATCAATAGAAAATCAGCCGGCGCAAGCGGTTCATGTTCATGTAAATCGTTGTAAACGTAGGTTAAAGGACGTCTATTCACAATATTTTCGACCTCTGTCAACACAGTCATAAATTTTTCAAAATTCATTTGAGCTCTGCCTAATATCTTTTTCAACGGTTCCTTTATGGTTTTCATAAAGCGTTCATAAAAAGCTCCTCACCATGGAGCAAGCTCAACGATAAATTTCCATGTCAAGCCTTCATTTGCTGGAAAATTTTGGAAGTCTGTACCTTTAATTATGCTGTAACAATACTGTAAATCTTTGGAAGCATATTTGAAAGTTTTCGCGTTATCTGAATAAAAGGTGCGATAGTTTCTTCTTCTCGAAATGAAACTACCGAGAGCCAAAATGAATTTGTTTGCAGACATATTGGAAATGAGCTCTAGATGTAACGCTCGTGTAACAGCGCACGTAAACAATACGATGTATGATTTCTGAATGTCGTTTCCAGACTTTATGTAAACTGGACCTGTGAAATTCACGCCTGCAACATAGAAAGGTGGAGTTTCAACAATTCGATCTTTAGGTAATTCAGCTGTCGTTTGTTTCGCTGGTTTTACTGCGTATTTTCGACATAAATTAAACAGTTTCCCTAAGACTTTCTTTACCAACTGACGGCCTTTAGGAATCCAAAATTTCTGTGTCGTTAGTTTGGCTAAAGTTACTGCAACTCTTGCATGTAGAACATTAATTATGTTCTCTTTTTACAATTAATTCAGTAAATTTGGAATCTTTAGAAAAAAGAACTGGATGTTTCTCGTCAACTGTATATTCGGTTTTTTTCTAATCTTCCCTTAATTCGAAAAATTTTATTTTCATCAAGAAATGGTGCCAAGCTGAATATATTAGAGCTTGGAGAAATTGACTTGTTAGATTAAAGAACCTTAATTTCAGGTGTGAAGAAATCCATCTGAGCTTTACGAATACAAAAAATTTCAGTGTTCTGAATTTCAGAAGCACTTAATGTTCCACAATTAGCAAGCAGTTTTGTTATCGGTCATCCAACGTATAAAGTCTCGACAAGGTTTAAACGTTATAATGGTCTTGAAAATAAACCGCTTACACCGCATCTGGCTTTTCAGAAGATATCCTGAGCTTGCCAGCATAAAACCATGTATGAGACCGAATTTTAAAAGCACGCGCTAATTGTGCAGCTTCGTATACCACTGAACTGTAATATAATTATGGCAATCTTTAGTTCATCAATCATCTGCAAACGATGTACAGCGAACTTTCCGCATCAGATAATCCCTGAAGAAATAGGAATTTTATCTGGATGGCCAAGTATCGCCAAAACGAGAAGCCAGACGATTTGTGAATGAGTATCAGAAATACAGCCATATTTTTTGCCTACCATTGTGCCGACGTTTTGGAACCAAATTGTTATCCACCAGTTATTTTTCCTACAAGACCGACAATCTTCATTTTCACACCAAAATACGCGTTCAGTGTCTGTGATACAGCTAGTTTGGTTTAAAACGTCTACCACCGCAGTGTGCAATTATACTGACCGGGATAAGAAACACGGATTTCAAGTTGGCGACATACTGCATGTAAATCCATACGAGACTAATTTAGCAGACCAGCTCTGCAGACCTTACCATTAGTAGAGTCAGGTCTTGTCCAGTGGCTTTAGCATATTTTTTATGACTTTCTCATCTCACGAGAAAAATCGTTCAATTGCAAATAACTGAATGACTAAACAAACAAAATTTCAATACATTCTCGCCAAAAACTGGAAAGTTTACAAGCCACTCTATTGGTAACTAATAGAAAATTTTCCTCGTAAGTTCTAGTCATGCGCTTTCTTTATCAAGGAAATATTAAAACAAATCATTTAAGTTATTGTTATATTCAGAAAAAGAATGAAATAAATTATGAAGCTGTCTCTCAGTAAGCCCCTCTGTATAGATTTTCAAGCTTTTCAGAACAGGAAACGTGAAAACCAGTTATGTCTTTCCCGGAATTAGAAGCAGAGATCTCCACTTGGCTTAGCTGAACACTACAACCACGTAGATCATGAAAGCACGCATGAAAAATGCGATAATTTCTTACAGCTCGGATGTAAGAAATCCTCTCTCTTGTAATACAGATAATATAATATACGAGAATTTAAGTCTTTTGAGATATTATATATATATAAAGTTGAGGAGTAATCCCAGTGTTGGACTAGGCAAATGGAAAAAAATTACACTAGGCAAATGGAAAAAAAATTACACTAGGCAAATGGAAAAACATATTTATTCCATATTCTTTTATGAAACCAAAAATTATGCAAATGATTCATTTGACAGACGGCGTAGATAAAATTTGTACTACCCATACAAGTATGCGAAAAAAAGCTGCTGAACTCCAGTATTCTGAAATCTATGTTATGCACTTTCGAGTTGCTAAATATGTAGGAGATTCCGTAGCTTTCCATAACAATATTACAATTAAATTAAACTAAATTGAATTACGCAACTACCAGCGCAACCCCAACAGACAGGTATCAAAAAGCCTTTTCCTTAAATTTAATTAGAAAACAAATTTAAAAAAGAAAATATGAAATGCAAAAAAAAAAAAAGCATGTATTATGAGGGGCAACTTAAATTTCCTATTTTAACGAGAATTGCAATGTAGTCACACATATAAAAAATAACAGTTGGGTCTAAAAAAATAGTTACTTATGTAGAGTTTTTAACAATATTGGAATTTTGTTAGTTTGTTAAATTTGGATAGTTAACAATTTTGAAAACTGTTAAATCTCTAAATTTAACAATTTGAAACATGCGTGCAACAAAAAGAATTTAATTGGAACAACGCAAGTGAAATTTTTGACAGTAGAACACAGTAAATAATTATTAAGAAAACAAAATCTTGCACTGAGAACATTAAATAGATGCGCAATTAAAAAAATTTAATATTTACATGTTCATAAATTAACAAATATTAAAACTGAAAAAAGGTATGGTTGTTAAATGAAGTGTGTTTTTCCGAAAATGTTTCGCAATTTTTGCTTTTTTTTTTTTTTTTTTTTTTTTTTTTTTTTTTTTTTTTTGCACGCTGCGTGGGTCAGTCAAGACATTTAGGGATTGCTCTCGTTTGGTTCTTTGTTTTTTGACTATGGTTTAGAATTTGCGCGAGATTTTGATTTTTGAAGATTTTTCTCTGGTGTCATTGATATAGGTTGCTTGCAGATTCTCTGACCCCAAAGTTTTTAGCAGAATGGAATATATTTGAATTTACGTGGAATTTAATTATTGCGACTGAACTATTGTAGATCACAGTACGTGATTTGATAACTTAATTGTTCTGTTTTATTTATTATTTCTCTCTCTCTCTCTCTTTATTTATATATATATACAAACCTATGCATATAAATTATTGTAATTTTAATTAGTTTAATATGCGTGATTATGTTGTTGTATATAAATTTTGACTCCAATTTCAATATATGTTACGCATTAACGGCCCATTATAGGTATCAATAAGTTTTTTTTTTAATTAATCCCGAAACAAACTGCTCTTTGGAAAAAAAGAAAAAAAAAAGAAAAGATAAATAAAAAAGGTGAAAGATAAACTTTTTCCCAAAGAAGGTATAAAACTGATCTTAGGTATAAAATAAGTAAGGTAATAAAAGTGCCTGTCTGTAAGTATTATTTTGTTTCATAGTTTATTGTTTTCTCTTGTGAATATGCCCGTTTTTCATAATGCAGCCGCCATTTTATTGAACATTTTGATAACATCTAATATGACGTCACCTGAGATAATCGGTATCTATGTCTTACAGCGACAAGAAATGTTAACTGTTCAACACTGAAAATATGTATACTTTATTACTATAGCGTTGATGAAGACATGTGAAAGAGATTACATGAAGAAATCCTTAAAGTAAGGTCACTGATAAGAAGAAACCACTGACAGTAACCATTGTGAATTGCAATGTAGATGGCATTACGCAAACTTTATTCCTTTTATTTTGCCAGCAGAAAATACAAGCTGTTATATAAAGCAAGCTACAGTCTCTACAGTTACAGTCTCGCGAAATCCCAATTTTACATTCTTTAAGTCCAGCAGTGAACCTTATTGATGGTTGAAGCAGATATCGGGAATGTTATTGCACCGGTTTCTTCTCTGGAGAAAATATATTTCATTAGTTTTCCAAGCAAAATATATTATAAAGCTTTAGTTTCAAGCTTCAGTATAATAATGCTGAAGGCAACAGAAGCGGCTGGAAGCCAAACAATTTATGATCTTAGCAAATAACTGGAAAAATGATCGTAAGAAAAGATATTACTAGCTCTGAAGTATTAATACTTTTATATACAGCATTCTAATTAGGTACAGGTTGAAGCATGTGGAATCCTCGTGCATCCGGCTAGGCATATTAGGTATCGCAGGGCCTTGCTGACTGCTAAGGTTCCATCCCAGACGGAATTACGAAGAGCATTACATTACATCATACCACTTCAGGCAGGCTTCCGACCTAAGGTACTCGAGAAAAAACACTTCTGGGTGCGATCCGTTCTCCCACCCCTCTGCCCCTACAGCCAACCATTGGAGAGGATTTAGTTCGCTGGGTACTTTTGGAAGTCCCCTTGCCGCACAACCATTATATGCTTACAAGCCTCCAAGCTTTTTCCGGGATTACGATTTGGTAAGAATTTGCTGCTCTTCTAATGGAATTGAGCTCTATAATGAAAGTCCCCTCTTTACTTTCATCTGTAATGTGTACTTTTTCATCAGCCAAATACAATTTTTTTTTTATTTATTTTTTTACAATAATAGCCAGTTTACTACCGCTATATCTGTTTTACTCCGTTTATATGATGTGCACCCGCAAATACTTTCCTTTCTTAGAACAAGATAATACATTTTGTATGTCTCTACATTGCAGCTACAAAAATATATGGCCCAAATAAAACAAAAATATGATTATCGCAACAACAAAGAATTGCACTTTTTATTAATATATATCTATTATGTTAAATGTCAGGATGAATTTGTTTTGAAATTGATAGTCATGGCTTGAAGAAATGTGTATCATTCTAATGAAAATTTTTTAGAAAAAATAGGATGTAGTAATAAAGAATAATTAATATATAAAGTTATATTAATTGTAGGATCAATCATTAATTAGATCGTGCTTGATTACATTTCTGGTACGATAAAACTTTGGATCGGATTGTCTTGTATAAACAGAAATTGAACTCTTCATGAGTTTCAGAATGAAATAATATGACATGACATTAATAAACCAGGTTTCAAAATACTTCGAAGTTTCAAAAACAAGTAACAAAATACTTTGTAGAGACATTAGGTGAATTGGAAAAGCCGGAGAGATGAAAAATGAGCAATCGCCTTCGCCGGGAATCGAACCACGGACCTCTGGAATACTGGGCCCAGCGTGCAGAACCACTATACCACGAAGGCACGCTAGGAAGGCGGGAGAAATACCTTATAACTTCAGTTCACTAAGGATATGCCATTAAAGTATAATAGCAACTCATTTTTACAAAAGATTCATTATTTAATCAAGTAAAATTAAATTATGCACATTATTTGCTATTTTTTCCACATTTAAACGATATACAAAATCTAGAAATCTTAATGAAAACTATCAGACAATTCTCATTTTAGCTTAAAAAGGAATAACACATTAATATAGTAATATCACAAGATATTTATTTATTCGCACAATGATTCTGACAAATACGTAACTCTTTAGTGGCAGTTACATAATTCAGAGCAGAAAACAAAGTGCTTGTTTTCTCATCTATTAAACAATATACATCTATAACAGAACACTTTGTCTCTTTTCCATGACAAAAAGGAAAATGTTTAGGGATGTCACAAACTAACTTAAATACTCATTCCTTTTACAACCACGCGAAAAGCAATACAGTATCATACTTTTGAAAGCTAAATCTAACGGCGGTTATTTATCGCGTCTCTATATCCAGCAACTGTGATCTTGTAAACAATTCAATACGATGGTTGAAAAATTATCTACAATGTGGATGATGAGGGTTCTTTTAATAAATATTTTGGTTAAAGATGGATGTTAAGAGTAATAATCTGGTACAGAATTTATTTCTTTTTCACCGGTCAAAATTAATATTGAAATACTCTTAAAACGAAATGATAAGTACTACCTTACACTGCCCTTTAGTAGCATATTTAGCTTCTTTCTTATCAAAAGTTCCCTCGATCTGATTCCAACAAAAACAGTCTTGTGTTCCCAAAGATTTAATACTACAAATTAATGATTCATTTAATGTGTTTATTTAATGTGCCTAAAGCTTCATTGAAAATTTAAATTTAATTTAATTTAAACGAGGAAATTCCTAATTTCATCATAGAGGACCAAGACTAAAGCGCCTCCAGAGCCACGAATGATGTTTGACAGTGCGCCCTTGAAGAAGGCGGTAGGTCCCTCCTGCTTGCCAATTTTGATCCAGCAATCCAAGGTGTTTTTGTATTGCATATCGGCTTTGGCTCGACCACTCTGCATCATCATACGCCGCCTGACGGTGTCGAATGGATAGGAAATGATGCCGGACACCATGGTGACGCACTGGGCAATGACCCAAGAAACTATTATAGGGGTGTTCTTGGGGTCGGTCTTGAGCATGCCTTTCGTGGTGTCATAAAAGCCAAAATAGGCTGCTCTGTAGATAATAATACCTTGCACAGATACACTGAAACCACGATACAGCCCGAGAAGGCCATCGGTTTTGAAGATCTTTGCGAGACAGTTGACCAGACCACTGAATTCACGATTGGCTGCTCCTTTTCCTACATCAGCTGCCAATCGGGTCCTAGCAAAGTCCAAGGGATAGACAAAGCAGAGAGATGTGGCACCAGCTGCTCCACCAGATGCTAAATTCCCCAAGAAGTATCTCCAGAATTGCGTCCTTTTATCAACGCCGCCTAAGAAGATCTGTTTATATTTGTCCTTGAAGGCAAAATTAAGGGCTTGGGTAGGAAAATATCGGATAACATTGGCTAGGTTACCACGCCAGAAGCTTAGAAATCCCTGTTCTTTGGGGATACGCACGAAGCAATCGACAATACCTGGAAGGAAAAAAAAAATAAAATTGAATGTCACAGCATAGACGTACATACAGGCATACAGCATAGACATATCATTCTAGATTAAGTAAATTTTATGCTAAAAACAGTTTAAAGAAAACTATATGTATTGGAAATTTACATTTTTGACAAGAAAATAAATTTATTAAAGTAATTTTTAATAAAAATTTAATTTCCCTTCTTCTGTTGATTAAATTACTAGTACAACAGCAATACAACTTCCAAATATACTTCAACAATTTAGGATTCAATACGTCTTATGAATACTCAGCCTTCACTGATAATAAAGAAGTGGGAAAAATAATTTTATTTTCACTCAGTAAAATAAAAAGAAAAAATAATAACTGGAAAAAAAATCTGAAAGGCATCAGTTTTTAAACTGCTTCCAAATGGGCGTTTTTTTAACATTTTGTGTGTTACCTTTAGTTATTAAATATCATGTTCTTCGCCCTTAAACCATAAAACTCAGTTCAAGAGCAATATTGCAAAATAATTTTAAATTGAGCGTATCTTTTAGAATTTCCGATTCACAGTCTCACGCGCTGGAAATAATTTTTTTTTTTTCCCTCTGTACATCGTTGCCACTGCTCGCTTTTAAATCCTTGAGTTTGTTAATCAAAAATTCGTTAAAAGTTTTACAAAATATGAAATCGATAATAAAACAAGTTCAAGATTTCAAATTTGGACTTCCAGATGCACATATTCGCAGGATTACGTTATTAAAAATTTGATGGCTCTAGGTACCGTTATTTTATCACAATGAGAGAAACATACATGCACTTATGCAGATTCTTCATTATTTAATTTCTTTAAATATAATACATGGCAATAATATTTGGTGGCAACAATTTGAATAGTGAACTGATATTTATAGTGAATCAACGCAAAATGCCAAAACAAAATTAATAGCCCTTCTTGGCAAATTGCCCCTTTGGACTAAAAGCACATTCTATTATATGAAAAAATAAAAAATACTCAAGATTTTAAAAATGTATTTTTTTATAGGTGAGAGCCTTCAACCTTTATCTTTAAAACAAAAAAGAAATTCATGCAGTTTAAAATTTTCAAACAATAATTTCATTCTTATAAATATTGCAAAAATTCAAAAATATAAATTCAGAGACATTTAAACAATAAGTAAAAAAATATTAATAGTATTAGGAAACCTTTCCCTTAAGTAAAATCCTAAAAATTCTTTACTATTTTTTATCAAATTCAGTAATTTTTTTTAACTCAAATATACGAAACTGCTATTTTAAATAAATCACATACAATTTTTTAATTAATTGACTTTCATCTTAAAATGATTTAAAGCAAAACTATTACCATCAATAAATCATAAAGCAATACAATTACTCATAAAACGCAAAATGTACTTATAATATAAAGTTTTTAAAATCTTAATTTACTTCGATGAAGAAACATTGGTTTTTGGAACTTAACAGAGCTTCAATACTACTTTTCATGAAGTCCATTCTTTGAATGAGATGAGCACTGAAAACGCAAACGTACTATTCGTATTTCACATTTCACCGATAAGGATTGTTGATCTTCAAAGCATGGAATGATTGAAAGCAAAAAACACTCATTTTTTTAAACTAGTGTTTCTGTGTTCATGGACCCTTGGGGGTCCATGGGTCATTTTGGGGGTCCGCCGACTGCTCCTAATTTTTAAAATGTTTGCATCAATATTAAAAAAAAAAACACAATTTTTTTGTCACGGGCAACCTCTGTAAGTCGTCTGTCTGCCATTTCCCAATAACAGAGACCTCCACAATACGAGGAAAAGAACATTCGCAAACCATATAAAATTTGAAATTTTTAGAAACACAAAGTAGCCTTTGAATTTTTATTTCACTTGAAAATAAAGTGACGTTAAAATCAGTTCCGCAAAGTTCTTGCAAATTTTTAAAACAAAATATTTGTTTTACTAATAAGTCGTAATTAAAGTATTTTTTTTTTTTTTTGTGTGTGTGTGTGTGTGTGTGTGTTGTGTCTTAATATTTGTTCTTAATGTTTCATTTGATTATTTAATTTTTTTTGTAGCTCAAAATGTCCCAAAAAAAGGAAGTATGATGAAAATTATGTAAAATATGGATTCTGCTGCATGAAGGAATCGGACGGTGTTGAAAAGCCACAATGCTTTCTGTGTGGAAAAGTTTTGGCAAAAGCCAGTATGAAACAAGCAAAATTGATAGAGCATCTCAAATCTCTTCATCCTGAAAATGCATCTAAAGATCTAGAATTTTTTACAAAGAAGAAAGCCCAGTTTTCGAAATCTGGAACATTAACCAAACTTGGATTTGGTATTTCACAAAAACCTTTGGTTGAGGCATCTTTCAGAGTTGCATATCGTATTGCCAAAAGTAAGAAACCGCATACTATTGGAGAGACATTAATTAAGCCATGTGCGCTGGAAATGGTTGAATTAGTTTGTGGACTGGAACAGAGAAAAAAACTTGAGGCTATTCCATTGTCCAAGGATGTGATACATTCAAGAATAGTTGAAATTTCTTGCAATATCTTGAAACAGATCATCGATGAATTGAAAGCATCGCCATTTCCCTTTAGTATGACGAAACTACAGACATCTCGAATTATAGTCAACTTCTTGTTTTTGTTCGTTACGTGGCTGCTGATACTATCAAAGAAGAATTCTTATTTTGTGAGCCTCTTTTCAGGGATAAATAGAAAGGGCTAGCTCATTTCTTTGTTCGACTCCTCGCCGACACGAGCCTAATGGGGAAAATTAACAGGCAGTAATCTGACGTCACTGTGATGCCACCTGTTCTGATTTTCCCGCGTTTAAAACTGTAGTTTCATTCAGCTGTGAGACGATTTTCTAGAGGTTACATATCCGAAATTTATTTTAATCATATATATATCTGTTTTCTAATAGTGTATATATTTAAAATAATTTATATGTATGTAATTTTAGTCTGTTTTTATTTTAAATTCTATATTGTAAAGTACCATTTACGTAATATGGCTTTTTGCGCTGTAGTAACTTGCCGTAGCACTTACAGAAGTACGAAAGGATGAGATATTTTATTTCATGGTACCAAAGGATCCAAATGAGGTTTTGCTTTTGACGAAAGAATGGATACACAAATGTCAAAGACAAGATTCTATTAATGTAAGAAGAGCGGAAAAATCTGCAGCGAACATTTTCTCTATGCAGTGTTTATGAAGATGATAATGAAAAATCGCTTATTTGGATAGCCACAAAAAGAACTGAAATGGAACTGTGCCGGAAGTAAATTATGATGACAATAATAAATCGAAATTGATGATAACAATGATAAATGAAATGTTAATGATTTTGAAATAAACTCACAAATGAAAATATAGATATTCCTGAATGCCCTAAGTTTAAGGATAAACAAGAATGCATTGATAATTTGAAGAACAAAATAATATCCTTAGAAAATTGTATTAAAGCATTAAAAAATAGAGAAAAGAAAAATTTTGAATGTTTGTTCAGCGGCAAAGAAGGTGGACGACATCTGACAGAAATTGGTATCAGAAATTAAAATCTCAAATAGCGAAATTTGGGGGGAAGCACAAATAGGAGAATTTGGAAAAACGTCTAAAGCCTATTTTTATAAAAACGCAGATTAATGCATTGCTGAAAAAGAAGGAAAAATCAGGTGGACTAGTGTAGATATTTCACATTGCATTATCATAAGAGCTCTGTCATCTTAAAGCTATGATTTTTGGAAAGAGAAAAATTGGAATTCCTTTACCTAGTATTAGCAAATTAAAAAAAAAAAATGGTGAGCTAAATTTTAGTGTAGTCCAAGAATTCAAAGTCATGTTTACTCTAAAGAAGGAAAGAGGCAAATATTTTAAATTCTGTAGAAAAAATATGAGTTCTCAGTTTGGACGAAATGCATATAGATTTAAAACTCTACTGTGACTCTGGACCAAGTTCTCGGTTCTTTTCAAAATGTGCAGTTTGTTTCAATAATTTCGCGCTCTGCCTCAAATTACTGAGAAACCACCTTTTAGATAAAGGATTTGTTTTAGAAGATGGAACTGTTTTAAATTTTGATATTATTAAAGAAGTTTTAAATGGAGATTGAGAAGAAATCAAATTATGTCACAAACTAAAACCGAATTATTTAATGGTCAAGGGAAACGAGGGACAAAAAGTCGCTCCAGAGAAAACATTATTTTCAAAAAGCACCGCAAAAGGTATACTCCACCCACAGGAAATCAAAAAGCATCTGACTTCTATGAGTTAATCGATAATATCTTCGGTATTATGAATAGTACCAACAAGAATAACAAGTATTTAACAAACTAATTTTGTTAAGTACTTGTTAAAGTTATTCTTATTGTATCCTTTGTAACTAATTATTGATTAGATTTTGTGCTAAATTAGCATTCTAGATAAAATATATATATAAAACATTAAGTAATTGGCATAAAAGACTTGCTTCCTTTACTCACACTTTTGAAAAATTAAATAACTGTTTTAGGTACTCTGAGTAAAGCTATTTTGTCAAAATTAAGGTAACAATCTTACATACATTTATTTAATTGTAATATAGATATAAGTATAAATTACAAAATTATTTAAAAAAAATTATTATATTGAATCGGAAGAGAATTATAACCATGTAAAATTTACAATTAGGCAAAAAATCAAACGTAGGTTAGCAGAAAATGTGTCCATATATGTCATATATGTTTAAAACTATATCAATGTAAAAATTGTTTTTGAGTAAATTTAAATAGCTGCTATTATAGTTATCTTAGAAGCTCTATAAAAATTCTCTCAGTTCACATGCAGATAAAGAATGATTAGAATAAAACGTTCATTAAATAAAAAAACCTGCAAATAAAAATTGAAAAAAAAACCCACGGAACTTTATGTTTAAAAGAGTAGCACCATTTTATCTATTATTTTAAAATTGAGTAAGTATTATTAAATTTTTTAATGGTTCAGTCTAAATGCATAAAGCAGTAACATTGGC